GCGTGCGAGGACCCGCCGCAGGCCTGGCGGGCGCGGCGGCAGCAGGGTGGGGAGGGCGGTGTAGGTTTAGGTTGACGTGGCCGTCCGCGTGGAATCCGACTCCGGTTCCAACCCGGAGCTAAGGGACGAGCTGTAACCGCAAGGTCCGCGCCCCCGCACTTAAGGTCTTGGCACACGCCGCGGGCCGGACGCAGGACAGCGAAGCCCGCCCCTTCCTGCTCCCGTTGCTATGGTGACGGAGAAACCCGAGGGCGAGTTTAGGCTTGCGATTTTCCTGTGACCCTGTTCTTAAAGGGAAGTCGCTGCTATAGAGGATTTTTTCTGGTTGGGTGGGTGCAGTGAGGCCGAAAGGAGAAATTTTACAGAAAAAGGAAAGCTTGACTGAAGTGACGCTGATTTCAATGTCAGACTAGAGAGTTGAAGAGGTAGTACTTTTCCCGCCTGAGCCCTGATTCCAGCCGTTTCTACAAGAAGCTCTGGTTCTTTGGGAGCATATTTAGATAGCAAGATCTAGGTGATCGGCATGCTCCATGCTTTTGTTACTTCCTGGCCTTCTCAGTGGACAGAGGTGGGGAATATAAGCGCACACGCACACACACGTTCACATTTACATATGTATAAAACTATGATTTCACACCAAAACTTCCAGTGCCAACACAATTCGACAGGAATCATTTCATTCAGTTTGGTTTACTCTTTTCTACTTGTGTAACTCCTTTCCCTTACAATGAGAAACCTGGTTCCCATTATCCTTGATATATATGTACTTAACTTTCAATTCCCCCATATGTAACCAATCTCTCGCTGCTATGCAGTTGCCTTCATCGTACTTGGGTTCCCACACTTTTGTACTGGGTTGCTCTTCTGAGCAGATGCTCCGCTCACTTCACTCAGGTTCCAACCTATGCCAAGCTGCCCTCCCACAAGGACACACCCTGAAAGGGCTCCAAAATGCAATCACCCCTCCCTCCCAGTATGGACACACTCTTCACCTTGGCTGGGCTCTGACACTGTGCTAGCCCCACCTAATGGCTTTTGGTCTGAATTATTCAGGACGGGGAAGGCCGATGACTATTTTTTAATAATCTTTTAAGATATAGTACGAAGAGTGTATGGTAGGAGGGCAATAGTAAATATAGGAAAACTGACTAGGAGACTATTGCAATGGCCCAGGTGATACATGATGCTGGCTTGGATTAGGGTGGAGTTAGTTCAGATGTAAAGAAATGAACAGATTCAAGAAAAAAAGTAGGAGGTAGTATATATAGGATTTGGTGATGAATTGGTTATGGTGGGGAAGAGAAAGATTTGAAGTCACATCTCTACTTCAGATAATTGACATTAGGAGTGTCCACTTGCTTCGGTGAAACCAAAGCCTTGCCAGCCTCAGTATAATAAATCAAAACTTGATACAATAGGTCCATTATATATGCATAAGATATTTTAGAACAAGAGGACCATTTTGTTTCATTTTTACTTCCGTCTGAGGAACTGCTATTCATCTTTCAAGACCTAGTTCACGTTTCTTCTGAAAAATAATTTTCTGTGAGTCATGCAAGCATATTTGATCACTATGTCTTTTATTATTGCATTTAATATATGTTATTGTAATTACATTTCATTGATTGGTCTACTATAATGAATTCTTTGAGACCAGGAATCAGATTTTATTTTCTCCTCAGTGCCTAGCTAGAGTAGTGCTTGGCATCTAGTCAATGTATGCATTATGATGGAATAAAGAATCAATATTTATTATGTGCAAACAGGAAAGAATGGACCTTTGTTCTTAAAGTCCTTATTGTCTGACCTGGAGGGGAGTGACGTGAAGAACACACATTTACATAATATAATGTTGAATGAGTGATTTAAACAATATGTTCCATAGGGACTCAATTTGGAGCTCAACTACTCAGAATAGAATGAGAGGACATTGTGAGTGTTTCTAAATAAAAAAGAATAAACTTGGAATTTTCAAATTAGGTAGAATCTTTGAAATCATGAAGTTAATTTCTTAAATTCATAGAGGAGGAAACCGAAGCCCAGGAAGGTTGACGAGTGACTTGCCCAAAGACACTCAAATGTAAATGGTTGAAATGGGAATATAACCTGTTTTCTGTTTTCTTAGCCAGTGTGAAATGATAATGGTAATCATAGTAACTGAAACTTACATATGCTTTATATTCCAAGGCATTATATCAAGCACTTTACTTATATCAACATATCTAATTGTCATAACTCTCAGTAAATGCTATTATGTCAATCTTACAGATGAGGTAACTGAAGCTAAGAGAGGTTAAGCTACAAGATCAACCTTGCATAGTTAGCAATGGTAGAATTTGGATCCCAATCAGGGCCATCTAGATATGGAGTTCATAAGGAACATCACAATTAGCTAATTGAAATATTTTTGATGGCATTTATTTAAGTTAAGTGAGGTGTTGTTTTATAGATTTTAAAAATAATAACATAATAACCTATCACGAGTGCTAGATTTTGGGGGTAAATTGTAATACTTTATTAGATCAGACCTAATTTAAGACAAATTGGTTGATGTCTTAAACTTGCCTCTAGCATCTACTAATAGAATTGATATTCAATGTACGTGTTGAATTCAGTTGAATTTGCAATTGTTTATACTTCTATAAGAATTGTAATTTTATATTTTTATCTCCAATAAACAGGTCTACCTTTAGCTGTAACTGACATTTCTTTTGTGCTTATTTCTCTACATCACAATTGACACTACAGTTTTATTAAAAATGTTACGTGGTAATTAAACTAACAAAAGTCAAAATCAGACAGAAATATATACACATAAACACATATGTATATATACACACATATATGTCTATATTTTTGTATACATTGGTTTTTCTTGGCACTAATTCATAAATAAATACTTGCTAAATTGAATTGATAGCAAACAAAACTCAAAGATGGGTTGACAGTCCTAGTTAAATATTTTCTCTTTCCATTTTACCTGACAACAGAAGACCAAGAGATCAGATTATAAATTGATAAAATGTGCCTGCAAGCCTACCCACATCTAAAATCTTTAGAGATGATAGAGTAGTTTATTCTTTAAAAAAATAAATCCACATCAATTTTGCAGAGCAAATGCCCTCAAAGGACAAGGAATTTTGAGGAATCCCTGAAATGTAGAAGACAAAAAATGTTGAATTGACATGAGACATCATTGAGCAAAGCACAAAGGTGAAGAATGCAGCAAAATGTGAAAATGGCTCTGGATGTTTTTAAGGAAAGAAGAGAATTACAAGGGAATGAGAAAATTGGAGATGTTGGTTGGTTGAGGAACTGTATATAGTGTAGCCTCCTGTGTTAGGTATCCCCAAAATTATCCTCAGATTTGATAATTCACCAGAATGACCCAGCTGACTAAGAATGTAATTATACTCAGGGCTAAGATTTATTACAGGGAAATAACACAAAGCAAAATCAGCAAAAGGAAAAGGTACTTAGGCAGACTCTGGAGGAAATCAGGTGGAAGCTTTTAAGAATCCTCTCCCTACAACTCAACAAAAAAACAAACAATCCAATTAAAAATGGGGCAGAAGACCTGAACAGATACTTTTCCAAAGAGGAAATACAGATGGCTAACAGACATGAAAAGATGCTCAAGGTCACTAATCAACAGAGAAATGCAAATTAAAACCACAATGAGATATCACCTCACACCTGTCAGAATGGCTATCATCAATAAATCAAAAAACAGCAAGTATTGGTGAGGATACGGAGAAAAGGAAACCCTCATACATTGTTGGTGGGATTGCAAATTGGTACAGCCGCTATGGAAAACAGTATGGAGGTTCCTCAAAAAATTAAAAATGTATATACCTTTTGACCCAGCAATTGCACTTCTGGGTATTTATCCAAAGAAAACCAAAACAATAATTCGTAAAGATCTATGCACTCCAATATTCATGGCAGCACAATTTACAATAGCCAAGATATGGAGGCAACCTAAATGCCTATCAACAGACGATTGGATAAGAAAGATAAATACCATATGATTTCACTTATATGTGGTATCTAAGGGGCAAAAAGAACAAACTAGTCAAAAACAGACTCACGAATATAGTGGACAATTTGGTGACAAACAGAGGGGAAGGGGTTGGGAGGCTGAAAGAATGGGGTGAAGGGTTAAAGAAGTACAAATTAGTACTTGATAGTTGGGCCCGGGGAGCATGGCAGAGGGAATGCAATTAGCATTAATATGATGGCTAAGTGGAGGGCCAGGGGAGGGAGGGAGCAATTGGGGGGATCATTTTATGAGCATTATAGATGTCTAACCAATGTAATGTATACTTGAAACTAATTTAAATAAATAAATTTATATATATAACAAAAGAATCCTCTCCCAGTGGAGTCTCACAAGACATACAACTCATTGCTGGAGTTGTGATAACATGTACAAAGTGTTATGTACAAAGACAGCTCATTAGGGACCAAGTGACTAAGGCTTTCATTGGGAGCTGGACATGTAGGCATACTATGCTTAGCAGGCACCAAAATTCTAGACCTCCCACCCCTGAAAGAAAG